GTAAATCACCTAACTAGTCTCAGGACTTGCTAAATTGATTGATCATCTCATCTTCATAAACAATAAGGATGTCTACGGGAGTGGTGGTTGCAACTCTATGATCACAATTTTGTCATCCTCGTTCTTTGCTGCATTCTATTTCTTATTCTTGGTTTTTTCTTCCATTGCCTGCAATGTTTCTTGATGTGTCTCATTTTTTCATAATGATGACACTTGTTGCAAACTTGTTCAAGTCGCCTCTGCCTCTCTCTATTCTTCAAACCTCTACTCTTACTTCTTCTCCTCTATTTTGTAACTAAGATCTCTAACTATGAAGAGAATCATTGTAATTATTTTCTCATCTCTTTATTTATCAGACTACTCTTGGCCAAACCAATTATGATTGCACCATCTGGAGCAGAATTAGATGGTGAAGTTCTGAGGTCTCCTATGATTTCGATAGTGGACCAATCAATCATGATCCCTCTATCTCATCATCAAACTTAATATAAAATGTATTTAGTGATCAATTAAAGGAGTCTCAACTTAGTATCTCAACCCATCATCTGTTTAATCAGAAATATCCTATTATTTTCAATCATTAGCATACAAACGTTCAAGCTTACTCCAGAGTATGAGCATGTGTCTTCTCACTAACATGGTTCAAAACATTAACTTCTCCCCACTATTTGATATATCCTCATATTTGTCGATGCAACGAAGTCCATTCTTCATTAAACTTGTTATTTGGTTCCTCCGCAATAAACACCACTTTCGGCTCGGTAATAATTTTTCAAATAAAGAAATCTTCCATTTTTCGTCTCCATATGTGATAGTTTAAACCATTTAAATTAATCATTTACTCATATTTACTTTCATAATCTAAAACCCTGATTTGAATATCTGGTTCTAATAACACTTTTTTGGGAGAGTTAAAAGATAGGCACACAACAACAAAAAAAAATTGATAGATTATGAAAGTAAATGAGTAAATGATTAAAAAAATTGATAAAAATCAAAGTTAACGTTAATAATTAATTTTAATTATTTTATGAGATCCACAACTTTTTTTTTCAAATTTTTAACCACAATTTTCTTCATTATTTGGTTCATCTAAAAAATTGAGAGAAACCTAAGTCGAAGTCATCAATTAATTTTAAGTGCACATTTTATTGAATTCATAATTTTCATCAATTTTTCAATCACAGCTCATCAACTTTCACTAAAATCTCTAGAAATCTGATTTTTTTCTTAATCAAATAGGGACATAATTAACTTTTATCAAAATTCGAGATTATAATTGACAAAGTTAGTCAAGGTTTAGATCAGATCTTGGCCCCACATTGTTGAACTTTGACTGCTCAATAAACAGACATTCAAATAATATCATATTAATTAGGAAAAATTGTAGCAGTGGTCCCTAACCTTTCACTTTTTATAAATTTTACCCTAACCTTCAATTTGTGCCATCCATAATCCCAAATTGTTCAAAAATATGCACTGGAGTTTAAAATGAATGGAAGCCGTCCATTTGACAATTAGTTGACCAAGGAAGTCAAAATTTGATCAATTTTAACCAAAGTAAGAAGGGTAACATGATAACTTTGTTATTTAAACCCTATAAAATAATTAAAATAAAATAACTAAAATAAAACTAAAAAATAAAAGGAAAAACTATTCATCTCCATCTTTCCTCCCCTCTCTACCCCTAGCCTCGAACATTGCCCTTCCAATCCCCACTCCTCAAATGGCCTCTTTGCAACCCTCATCATTACTGCCACCCAACAAAACCACTAGCTCCAGCGCTGGTGGAGGTATCGTGCTTTACCCCCACCCTTTGCTAGTAAAAACCCAATTATTTCTCGGGTTTGGTCTTTTATTGCTTCGTTATGTATGGGTCAATTGCAAGATAAAATTGATGCTACTCATTTTCGGTTCATTAGCTAAAGATAATGATAGAAATAAAAAAAATTGTAGTTGAAGAAGGTGGAATTTATCCTTTATTGAAGCTCTTGAAAGATAATTCATCCCCAGATGCTCAAATTGCAGTAGCTACTGCACTTTATAATTTAGTGAATGAAAAGGAAAGAATGACCTCAATAATTGATGAATCGGGGGTTTTGATTATTGTTCAAGTTTTAGGGGACTCGTCGATGAGTGTTCAAATAAGAGTTGCAAATTTGGTGGCTACAATGGCTGAGCATTGTCCATTGGCACAATAGGATTTTGCAAGGGAGAACGTGATTAGGCCACTTGTTATGTTGTTATCGTTTGATGTATTCATGGGTGATCCAAATATTAGAGTTGGGAAACAGAGTAGGGATCCAAAGATTAGCTGCTGCAATTTTCCAATTCAAGGTTTTGGGGGCGGGGGGTGGGGGGAATAAGAAGATGAATAGTTGTTTCCTTTTATTTTTTTTATTTTGTTTTAGTTATTTATTTTAATTGTATACAGGGTTAATTAGCAAACTTTGCCATTTTACCCTTTTTACTTTGGTCAAAATTGATCAAATTTTGACTTCCTCTGCAAAAAAGTGAAAGGTTAAAGACCAACTGCAATTTTTCCTATTAATTAAATTGAAAACCATAAGAAAACATGTCATTCTCATTTTCTATTGCCACGAACTAAATTCAATGAGAGTAGAAATTAACAACAGTATTTTTTTTAATCAAAAGAATGCATAAATTTGTATTATCATTCAATATTTTATGCTATTACTTCAATTTAAATTTTATATTTTTAATCAAATCGTTGTGACTTCACACCTCATTTCGCTTCTACGCTATAAACACTTTTAAGATATAATAGATTGATAATCAAAACAACACACCTTCGTTTGCTGGAGTTTTTCTAAAAATAATAAAGATCAATTTTTTTCCCTTCGATTGATATAAGAATGTTAGCACAATCAGAAGAACCAGAGGCTTGAACTGATCAAGCGAATTGATTCATTAATTAATTCTTCATGTTCCCCAAAAGTTCATAAATTTATTGAAAAAATTCAATTAAACTGATAACAACGAAACTTAATCTCCAAACCTACTATCTTTGCGAAACCAACCCATTTAAAAGCTCATCTACGAGTTCTGGCAGACAGTTATTTTTGTGAAGAGGCCGATTTTTTGTTTTTCTTGTAGACACTTGTGTCATTTTTATGATCAGTGTACTTCAAGTACACCTCCTCCTTCCCCAATTGTTGTGCCTCCCCCTGTCCAGCCCCTACTACTAGAGCTGACAAGGGTAAAGGCAAGATGAATTTAGTGGAACCGAGGAAGTAGTAGGGTGCCAATTTCAGTATTGCTTCTATGCTTTCCATTACTGCTATTGCAGTTGTGACAGGGTTTGCATCTACCAGAGATGCCATCAGTTGTTCGTTCGATTGCTGAGCCTACTCCAAATGTACTACTAGCTGTTCATTCGCATGCTGAGCCTACTCCAAAGGTTGCTGTCAAGGTATCCCCTTCTACTACTACTACTACTATAGTTGCTATTCCCAACCCCATTACTGAGGCACTCCTTGAGCCTACTCCAATCAGTTCTTCATCGGTGGAAACACATACAGAGAATACTCAGCCATCACAGGAGTCAGGTCCTGCCTTACAGAGCTATAAAAAGACACCACCTCAGGCCAAGTAGATGTTGATTGACAATCTCAGGAAGATGCTCAGCCTAAAGGTCAGAGTTATCAGGAGTTGTGTCATTGAGGACTTGGTCCTGAAGCTCTTTGGTGAGGGACAATCATCAAAACTTCATAGGAGTCAAACTTCTACACCTTCACCTCATCCTTTTATCACAGCTCCTATCCAAGACAAGGTGAAGGTACATATACAGGGTGACATAGATAGTATAGGTTTAGAAAATTGCGTACAGAACATAGAGGCAGACGTACCTTTACTTAGTTGTCCACCCATGCATGCAGCAAATTTGGCAACGATGAGCACCATGAGATTAGACGTGTCTGCATTTATCCCGACACATAGAAGGCCTATTCCACCTAGGTGGGAACCTTTTCCCGGACGGGACACTTCTGCTGTGATTGAATCCAATTATATAGACTACTATCAGTCTAGACGTATGACCCAGTCAATGACTTTGTCTTACCCCCGAAGATTTATACTCAAGAGTGACTGTAGGATCGAATTCCACAGCCAAGCAGTGCAAAACCTGGCTCAGTTTTCCAAAAACATCGACACCATTTCTTGAGACAACTCCAATACCACCTTGTGCCACCAAGGTCCGGTTGCTATGGATATGGGAAGAAGAAGGCCAAGAAAATACCCACAATATATCAACCACAAAAGTCACAGAGAGGGAGGGAAGAAACGGCCGAGAGAGAGGAGCTCACAAAGAGGGTTTTTCACTCTAAAATGGAGGCCGAGAGTTTGAGAGGAATATATGCCAAGAGTATTGTCCAAACAAGGTAAGTTACAATTAGGGCTAAGTGGTGGATCAAAGGCTCGACTCAAATAATTGGGCCTCAACAATAATAACATAGCCTTCCAAGGAATGGTACGAGAACCGTGAGCAACACTATAAAATAGGTTACTTCGAACGGTCCATAACAAAATGGATTGTGTCGTCTCGTTAATTGTGTCGATGTACTAATCAATCATTAGGCCAAGGCCGATTGATAATAAACAACCGAGGTTACATCATCGCCCAGGAAGGTCGTTTGACAACAAAATTGCCTAACAGTAACCTTGACTAATCTTCACGTAGTCATTGTGCACATTTCATTTACTCTTGCTTTCATTTAATTTTGGGACATTTGTTGCATTTTTCATTTACTGGAGGTTAGGAATATGCTCTCTCCTTTTATATATTATTTTGATTTTTATAATATAATATAAGCAACACTAATGGCCCTAAATAAATGCTTATATTTAATGCCTAATTCTTCAACAAAATTTGAGATATTTGTTGCATAATTCTCATCAAATAAACCCGTCAAACAGTTTTCTTCCACTAATACAAAAGAAACAAGAATTAAACCAAACCAAATATATATACAAATGATCCAAGTACCCATTTGATTCAACATCAACCCGCATACTGAAACTGATCTGTGATCCGAATTCTAATAATTATCCAGAACCAAACGCCTTGAACAAAGAGTACAAAAATACTTCCTCTTGAATGGGAAACATAAGGGCAGAAAGCAAAATCTCCATTGAATTGCAACATCAACTGCTTCCACTTTTCCTCCACAGTAAGGGCATTCCCCAGAAGCCTGATGCCTTCCAACTTCTTTTTCCTCTTTACAACATAGCAATGAACACATTTTTCTCTCGCTTTTCACCGTTCACTGTGTGTAATTTTGGTCCAGAAAAACTTCCCCACCACAGTAAAATTCTCAAGCTGACTTTGAACGGTGGGAGGGGAGGCTGAATACTGCGAAACAGAAAGTAGATTCGGCCAGGCCCCTTGTTTTTTAAGGAAACACCAAGTTAACTTACGCTCCACGCGTACGTTAAAACGAACACGTGGATATTGAACAAGAATATTGATTTTTTTCCTACTAGTTTGTAATTTGTTTCAAGGAAAAATTTGCACTACAAGTCCTCAACTTATTAAATTTGTAGTATGAATCCATATGCAGAATTATTCTAAGCATTTTTGGCAATAATGAAAATTTATTATACAAGCACTTTTATGTTTTTCGGTTGAGCTTTCAGAAAAAATTGAACATGGACAAGTATATTTAGCGAGATTTGAATTCACAGAGATTACCATATTGGACTCTTTAATGATTCGACTTTTTGTGCATTACATTTTGTCACATTGATATATTTAAGCCAACAAAAATACGTTTTCGATTATAAATTTATAAGAACTACCACTTAAATGACGTAAATTGAACAAAATATCTTTATAAATTATTGTTGAACTATCATAAATCAGACATATGTCGAATTTTGTCTCATCACATCACATCTCACAAATAATTATAGTCACGACGTTCCTCTCAGGCTTGTTTGAGAGTCCCATTTTTTAGCCAAAATATATTTTGGAATAGTATTTTAATAGAAAATGTATGATTTAAAATAAGAAAAAAATTATAATTTGAATATAATATTATTTTATTTTAGAATATGTGATTGAAAATTAAAGAAAAGAAAATTTGTAGCAGTGATCTTTAATCTTTCACGTTTATGCAGACTTTACCCTATCCTAATTTTTGTGCCATCCATAGTTTCAAACTTTTCAAAAATATGTAAATGGGGTCCAAATGGATGAAAATCCTCCATTTGACCATTAGTTGACTAGAAAAGTCTAAAATTTGATCAATTTGGACCAAATTAAAAAGGGTGTAATGGTACTTTAAATTTTTTCTAAATATTAACAATTAAAATAATGAAACTAAAAAAAAAAAAAGTATAAATCTGCTACCACCCTACCCCTAACAACGGCGCAAAAAACTTGTTCGCTAAAATACTACCGCAAGTGCACAGGTCGCGTTCAAGTAATAAAGTGGACCTTTTAAGGCCAAATTGTCAATTCCTCAAGAAATGTTTACTTTAAATTACACAACTTTAATTAATTTAATTCTAACAATGAAAATAAACAAACAGACAATAAAGAGTTGATTTTAGAAACTAAGGAAAAAACATACAAACTAAGAAAATATGGAAATCTTGGGAATTTTGGAGGAAAACGTGGTTGGGATTCATGGTTTCGCTTAACCATCGTCTGATTAATTTCTCCACATGCCAATTAACGAATTACTCATTTACGATGTTAGACCCGATTTTTTAATTTTAGCTAATTACCTCTCTCGAGTGAAATTAACCCTAACTGATTGGTTTAACCTACTATATCTCTATGTCGATTACAACCAAGCAACAGCATTAAATTGTTATGAAAATAGCTCATTGTGTTACCTAGGGTTAGAGGTATATATCTATCCTCTACACAAACCTAGGGTTTCTACCATTTGGTCTAAAATGCACAATCTTCTCTCGAAATATGTACACTTCACGAAACATATTCATTTATTGGCCACATAAATGAAAACACAATAATAGAAACACATGGAAATAGGCAATTTAATATCAAATAGCAATATTGAAAATCAATTAAACCTAGGCCAAACTACTACCATAAATCCCAACGAAATACGTAACACATTTTATACATATGATGGAAAGGAGAATGTTTACAGCAATACATTACAAATATAACAAAATAATTGTGAAAATACACATTTATAGATAAAACCCTTTTTTGAAGCATGAATTTGATTCTCCAAGAGCTTTGTCAAATCCTTTATGTAATCTCCTTGTTGTTCTATATTGAACCTCCAAAATACCAAGCAAAACAAAAGAAAATGAAAAGAAAAGAAAATGAAAGAAAGAAGATGCAGAATCGTCCCAAAATGAACTGCCTCCAGACCCCCGAAATCTTCCCAGCTGCTGGTTTTTTATCAAACCTAAGAAAATTGCGGCCTTGGTCCCTGAAGTTTCAAAAGTTAACAAAAAGGTCCCCCCAACTAGTTTTTTCTTTTGGGCTTCTGTCAAGCAGCCCAAAAAATGGATTTTGCGTCATTTGCAGCCAAGTCCCTCAAATTTTTTTTTTAAATTTGGTCCCTAGATTTTGACTTTCATTTCGATTATGCCCTCCATAAATTGTAGCACAATTCCTCCACTTTTGACACATGCACTTTTAGTCCATTTTCCTCCTTTTTGCTTTGTTCTCTTACCACGAGTGATTTTTAACCTACAAAAGCAAATATTACTTAATTGTGAGTAGAATTTTATTCTTTTCATCAATAATTATATTAAATTAAAGTGCCAATAAGTGTGCAAAAACACACTTATCAACACCCCCAAACTTAAGCTCTTACTCGTCCCAAGCAAACAAACGTGATAATGGTCAACACATTAAATAGCTTGCCAAAAATATCAATGAGTGTAAAATTGTATAATCAATTCATAAATATGCTCCAAATAATGCTAGCAAAAATAATTTAAGCTTGTCCAATGTTTGATCGGTGTGTGGGTGCCATGTCACTTTTAATCATTATCTAAACTAGGAAAAAATTGCCAAGACGGAAAAATCTTCAAATTGGCTCCAACCCGACCCTTTGTGGTCAAATATTTTCTTTCTCACTCGTGAGATTCACACCAAAATAGATATTTTTTTCCCAAGGTTTAAATCTAAGATTGTTCTCAATCACTCATTTCTTTTTCCGCTCTAATTTGGTTGGGTCTAATCGACAATCTCAACAACTATCTCCTTCATCTCTTCGCACAAACACCAAGGCAGGGCCACCAGTACCAGCCACCCCACCACAACCTCTACCCTTCATCGACAACGCCATTTGGTAAAACTTGTCTCTACCGTTGCTACAATTTTCCCCAAGAAAGATCATCGTCCACACTCGTTCGAGACGCATTCCACGCGTATGAACTGTAGATCCACTAAGTGGCTTATTCGAGGAAAATTGATGAAGACGCTATTGGTGGTGGTGCAAGACCTTCATTCGTAACGCCGGCACCAGAGTTGGGATAGGAGATTTGTAGTTCATTACCTTCGGACTGTTGCCATTTTATTTTGGATTTAAATTATTTCTTGATGATATGGGGCCATGGAACTGCTCGTCTAGGGGAGTATTAACAGCCTATAGTGAAGTTAAGATATAGGTGTTGAAGGATTGGCCAGAATTGGAAGAATGGCCATGTGTAGTGACATTTTTTGGGCGTGAAATTTGTCTGATTTTTGATCAATTATTGTTAATTTTGGTATGGGATTGTAGAGTGGGATGAAGAGGTGTTGGTGGTGTCAAGATTTGATGGTTTATCCATTGTTGTATGGGTGGTGGTGACGTCAATGGCGACCACGATGTGGTTAGGCTGGGAAGGAGGAGGAGGAAAGATGATGGTTGGTGGATGTTTTATTATAATTGTATTTTTTTATTTTATTTAAATTAATTATTATAAAAGATAAATGGAAATTAATAGCAAAAGTACCACTTTGCCCTTTTTATTTGGTTCAAATTAGTCAAATTTTTGACTTTTTTTAGTCAATTAACGATCAAATTTCCATCCATTTGGAATTCAGGTGCATATTTTTGAAATGTTTTGGACTGTGGGTGACACAAAATGAAGGTTATGGTAAAATCTACAAAAACGTGAAAGGTTAGAGACAACTGCTACAATTTTACCTTTTGAAAATAATGGGGATGAAACAACAACTCGTAGCAAAATTATTACATTGTATATGAAAGTCAACAAATCCAACCTCAAATCCATGTGTTTCCTATTCCATTATTAATTGGTTAAACACAACTTATAATTACGGTCCGTTTGATAGCATGAATGGAATTCGGGTGAAAAGAAAACGAATTTTAAGGAATGAAATTGTCTAGAACTTATTTTACTGAGAATTTTCAATTAAATGTGTTCGATTGTTATGATTTTTCACTTGGAAAATGTTGAAATTTTGGATTTTTTTTTATTTTCGTTTGGCATTATTTTTCATGAAAATTATCGATTAAAAGTATATAATTTGTTACAATTGTGGATAGAATTTATTTCTATTGCCAAAAAAAAAAAGGCTGGAAAACATTTTTCACCAAAACCAAAGAAATTGATTTTCCACAAAAACCAAGAAAAATGGTCACGTGGGGATAATTGGAAAACCAATTCCATGGAATTTTTTGATTATCAAACATACATTTTTAGGTGAAATGGAAATTTTTTTCCATTTTAAATGAAAAAATAAGCTTATAAAATTGGCCCTTATTGTATTTTGTTAAGTTGGGCTGTGGAAAACGTACGTTGCAAGTAGACCTTAATGTGCATTTTTATAAGGTGGAAATTACGTATAATCAGATTTTTCAAGTTTGCATTTCAAAAATTTGATTTAAAATTTGTTTATACAAACTTCAAATGATAAATCCATATTTTAATTTAGAGGATGTTTGAGTCCCATTTTTATGAAAAAATGCATTTTAGAATAGTAAATTGATGGGAAATGTGTAGTTGAAAAATAAGGAAAATATTTTGATTTATGTGTAATATTATTTTAATGAATAATGTGTGGTTGAAAAGAAGAGAAAGAAAAATATATTTTGAGAAGAATGAGAATCAAACAAGGCGTTAATAATAATATTATAAAATTAAATTAATCTATATACCTTGCCTTGTGTCTTCCACCGACACAACACCTACCCAATTTTTTAAACCCTAATCATTTTTCACTTGGATTTTGATATACAAATTACATCCCCTCACAATAGGGGCCCGCGCCAATAAAAAAAGGCGCGGCCCCCCTGTTGTGAGGGGGATGTCACCCTCCATTACATGGAAGGTGTAGCTCTAGCATGAATCTTTTTACTTTTACTTCTCTTTAAATCTCTTCATTCCCTCTTTTATTCTCTTTTTTCT